ACGGCTGTACTTCAACCAAACGGCCTACAAAACTTTGTACAAAATACAATGAAAAAAGCCTTGATCCTTAAGAGACCTTGGAACAGGAATACTCACTGCTTATGACAGACAGATACACTGGAATACTTTGATTATGTCCTGATGTGTCGGAGAACTTGCAGGTGTACTGGCCAGCATCTTTTACTGCCACCTGCTGGATAACAAGAGAAAACTCCTGGGTGAAGTTCAGTCCAGATCCGCTGTGTCCACCAGTGACCCCGCGGCTGACCAGCACCGCGGCCTGGGCCCGTGGTTCGGCTCTAAATAACCAGAGGCTGTCGCCAGGGTGACGATGGAGCCGACGGTCACAGGGCAGAGTCACTTCCTCCCCCACCCTGACCACCAGGTGCAGATGTTTCCCATGAACGCCTGTGGAGGAGACAAGGATTTTCAGGTGGTTCCGCAGACAGACCAGGACTGGGTACTGACCTGTGGAACCATCGGTGGTTCCTGCAGAGTGTGTTCTTACCTGTGAACTGCAACAGAAAGAAAAACCAATTCAAAGACATCTTCATCGACTCGACTCGTCTTCTTCTATGACTGTCAGAGCATCAACTTCTTCTTCTGCTTTCCTCTTCGTGGTCACCGGACTGAAGGCAATATTCTCAGAACTGAGAACTGATGCACACACATTAAAGGCCTACATATATTTTTGTTTTTCCATTAAGTTTTGTTCTCCGTCATTTGTCTTTTTTGTCTTCTTCTCTAATTGTGATAACGACTAATCGTGACATCTGAAATTGAGATAAACCTTTAATTTTGGTGACAATTTCTTACAAAGTAAATGCAGTAACATATACAGGAAGATCTCCTTTAGGCAAAAAAACAAGTTTGGCTAAATCCTGTGGAAGCTTCGTAGCTGTTTTTCTTTCTCACAGATTTGTTTTTACATTTGTACGTGTACCTCTTCACAGATGGCCTTCAAACTGACTTCATATGAAGTTGTATGTTGTACTTTTTAACCAGAACTGCTAAAGGGTTAAATAGAAACGCTGATGTCACAGTTAGACGAGGTGTCATGTGATTAAGCCACCGTTATTGTTCACCACAGGTTGAACCGTCCGTCTCTACAGCCACAGGAAGTTACAGTTCAGTTCAGCCCACTCTGACAGTGTTCTGGCCGTAGTTATTTTCAGGCTCTTCTCCATGAAACAACAACAACATTAATAATAATATAATAAATTATTCAAACTGAATTTACAGTACATATATAGTTATATCTATGTACATACATATGTTATAGTAAATGTTTAGTTCGTTTTTTTTTTCATTAAATAAATGTCATTTATAATCGCCAATTTTTTTTCCCCCTGTGAGAGGTAGCGCCATCTATTGCTAACAAAAAGTATTTTTCTATCTCTGTCACGCTGTTTGAACATAGCCATAGCAGCATCTTCATGTTGAGTTAACATTTTGCTGAAGCGTAGAGACTCCCGGAGTCTGGAGCGTTGTCACGAGAAGAGAACGTCTTCACGGCGCTGTAGGTCACCGTATTAACGTCATCATCGACATCGTCCCGTTCAATCATCATGTGAGTCTGAAAAAGAAAAAGAAACCAAGAGTAAGAGTAACACAGAAGAAGAAAAGACTTAAACTTGAATTAAGGAGCTAAAGCAGCGACAGGTGCCGTAGGTGTAGTGTTAGCTAACAAGCGGCAGGTATCGTAGGGTTTTGGTTAGCTAACAGCGGCAGGTATCGTAGGGTGGTTAGCTAACAGCGGCAGGTATCGTAGGGTTATGGTTAGCTAACAGCGGCAGGTATCGTAGGGTTATGGTTAGCTAACAGCAGCAGCTGCAGTTAAAATCAGCAGCTAAAGTTTGCTTCAGTAACAAATCCCAAATAAATTCAATAAGTTCACATCCATTAGCAATGACAGCAGCTAGCAGGCTAAGCAGGAATTAGCATCATCACCCGGTGGTACGCCCTAGCTAGCAGCTCCTTCCGTACGTTCCGTAATACAGGCAACAAAGAAAGCTCATTTACCTTCTCTTTGGTCTTCGCTCTCTGAGTATAGCTGACAGAAGCGTAGCAGATGCCATCTTCAAGATCCTGCTATGAAGTGCAGATAGTGTCATTAGCCTAAGTTCATGACGTTAGTGATCTCCAAAAACAATAGGAATATAGATGATTAATATAATTATTTGACAGTAAGACAAACGTACATAAATATACATATATGTTTATATATTTATGTGTACAGAATACCTGCACATATAGAAAATAAAATGTCATCAATAAAAAGGAAATAGTGGAAGTGAAGTTACCGTGCTGTGACTGGTTGCTGTAGGAGAAGTAGTCACTGGAACTGTTTCCTGCAAAAAAACAAACAGAAATACTACTGGTACTAGTAGTCGTAGTAGTCGTAGTCGCAGTAGTCGTAGTAGTCGTAGTAGTAGTCGTAGCAGCTGCAGTGGTTTCCTGTGTTTTTCTGCTGAAAGCTGCTGTGACTGTGTGAACCTCCGTATTCTCTCACCGTAACGTTGTCCGTCTGAGGTCTGAGTCCTGAAAGAAAGGCACACATCTTTACTGTTGGTGTGGAGGCGGTCAGCTAAAGAACACCTTCATCTCTGCAGGCGCTCCTTTTCACCTTTGTGTTTTCTCTGACACACAACAATAATAGCAGTTAGCAGGATGACGGTCACACCCACGCCCACGGCCACGGCCACGGCCAGGTAAATCCACCAGTGTGGATCCTGAAGAACCGGAGCTGAAACTCAACCAAAACGTTAAATCAGTTCCTCTCTCCTGTCAGACTCCCGGCTGAGTGAAGACGCTGATCCTCCACATCTGACGAGACACTCACCTGCTCCCTCACAGGACGGAGGTCCAAAGTAATACAACGCCACGTTGCTGCTGTCGTTGACTCTACAGGTGAAGCAGCCGTGGTGATTGGTCAGAGGAGTGGTGAAGGTCAACTGGGCTGAACAGCCATCCTGGGACACCTGACCTTCTGCCCCCTTGATCAACCACTCTACAGAGTGTCCACAAGCTTTGAATGACAACACTGAGCAGGCCAACTTTGTGTCATCAACCGCATAAACTGATGGGACAAAGAAAAATGTTGTGATTGGTGTATAAAAACTTTCCAGGACTTTGGTCTGAGCTGAACCCCCCCCACCCCCCGGGTAAAAGTCACTCACTGTTAATGACAGACAGCTGGACCAGAGAGCTCCGAGCTGGTTGGTTGATCCTGCAGGTGTACTGACCAAAGTCCTTCACCGTCACCTTCTCCAACACCAAAGAAAACTCCTGTGTGACGCTGAGTTCAGGTCGGTCGTTGTTTGTTTTTTCTCTGCGGCTGAGCAGCTTCACTTCCGGTGAACTTGGGTCAGCCGTGAAGAACCAATCAGCATCTGCGTCCTCATCTGGACTCAGCAAAGCTTTACAGGGCAGACTCACATGTCCTCCATCTCTGACCATCAGCTTCAGACTCTGAGTCTCATCTTCTGTGGACAGACACCAACATGAAGAGCACAGTTGAGGCTCTGCAGGTCCACAGTCGTCCACTTGGTGAAGAATCACTTCACATCAACACAGTTAGTGAGACCTGCAGCACTCGCTCAGAGAGATGACAAAATCAAAAACTGCTTCAGACCACCTCTCACCAAGGCTGTAACGACGCATCGTGAACCCAACGTCTCATCAAGGTGTAAGGAGCAGACTGAGTTATTTCACAAAGTCACTGGTCAGACCATGACACTACCCACTCCAGTACAGTAGGTGGCAGTGTGCTTCTAAAACATTGGTTGTGACCCACTATCAAACCCAGACGTCAGGTCCTACGTAGGCTGAGAGACGTTCAGGTGTCGGAACAGAACGTGGGAAGAACTGGTTCCACAGACACCAACAGAGTTCTCCAGTGGAACTGTTTCCTTTTTTTTTTTTTTTTTACTGTTTTTTTCTCTTCTTCTGTTGTTAATGAATGAATGAATGAATGAATGAATGAATGAATTCTCCTTTAGATTCTGTTGTTGTTCAGTGTTATTATTTCCCCGATTGTGAATGTCGTTCTTTCAAACATTTCTGTTTTTTAGTTTTCAGTTTTCCATGTCTGGTGGGTTTGGAGTTTTCTCACCTGTGGATGGAATTCTGAAGGTGAACGTCTGAGCGTCTTCGTCTCTCAGTTTACTGCTCACGTTACAGACGAACAAGCGACGGTAGTCTGGATTGTTGTGGAGGACAGAGCTGGGGAACCTGATGGAGCACTGAAATTGTGACGTCCAGCTGTCTGTTCCATCTACAGATCCACACTCCACCCTGAGGTTGGGGTGGTCACCTACGGTCACTGCACAGGTCAACGTCACCCCGTCAACCTCTTTCTGTTCAGACACTGGTGAACAGAATAGAAAAAGTTAGACTTTTACCTTTGGATTAAACCAAACCACTAAATAATAAACACACACCTACCACTAGGTGGTGCCGATTGATCAGAATGCCTAGTTTAAAAAAAACGATAAATAAACTAAACTGTAAGTAAAAGTTAGCCAAAGTATTACTAACAAAGCAGCTGGTTAGCTCAGAGGAGAGTGAAGAGTTAGCTGAGACGTAGGACCGCAGGAAATGATCTAAAGGTCAATGGTTGGCCCCAGGACCAGACCTTTAACACAGACCAGCTGTAAATACTCACACCGAACAGTGGACAGATAAACCAAAGCGTCGTTATGTCCAGAGCTGTCCTGTCGACAGTAGTAGCGTCCGGAGTCAGAGGTCGTGACCTTCTTCATCAACAGAGAGCAGTCGTCCGTTAGACTCAGTTTCTCAGACAGCTGTTTTATGACCTTTCCATCTGAGACTGGATAGTTATATGGTGTAGAGCTGACAATCCAGTACGTCGTGTTGCACCGACCGTGTGCAGAAGGAATCCCAGTGTCACAGGGCAACACCACGCTTTCCCCTTCTTTGACAACGACGGAGGTCAGCCGGTCCGCTGAAAAAGGAAAAACAAGAGAGAGGCTAAATCGGTCTAAATACTCTGAAAGGTTTAGTGATAAAAAGGTCAATAATCTGAGCTGTAATCTGGTGTTACCTGTAATCTGCAGCCTCACCGTCCAGAACACCAACACGAGGACCCTCATAGTTCGCTCTTCTCTCAGATCTGATTTTGCCTGACTAACGCCCTCAGTCAAACTTCTGCTTTTCAAACTTTCTGTTTTACCAACGTTTCACAGAACTTCCTGTCCTGGATGTTGGTGAGATTTCGTCGCCTCTGTGGATCAGAACTGAGCAGCAGACCAGCGGAGAGGTCAAATGTCAACAACAAGAAGCAGTGGAGCCGTACGGTTGAGTCACTGTCACACAACCACAGTCATCATCAGGGCCAGCAGGAACATTGACCTAATCCTGTCTCTGGAGAACCAGAACCAGAACCAGAACCAGAGGAACTCTATAAAACGAAACTAGTACAGTAACTAGTAAGTGAAGTACCAGGAAGTGTTTATTTTACAACATTTTGTTTTTCAGTTCAGGAGATTATTTTTACTGAAAAAAATCAAGTGCAAAAAATATTCTGCTGATTCTGCCAAGCTAGTTTTGCTAACACTGCTAACAGACTGCCTACAGCGTGTCTTTTTAAAGTGGTACAGCACATAGTCTGTGGGGACTGACTCGCGGTCAGATCCAGGTCCTCCTCAGAGACTCCAGGTTCAGGAGTGAAACGGAAGTTCTGCAGGAGGGTGGAGAAGAACATGAAGAGCTCCATCCTGGCCAGAGCTTCTACCAGACAACTCCTGCGACCTGAAGTGTTGACATCTGTAAACACACAAAGAGTGAAGGTCTGGACCACACCAACCTGCAGAGAAGGGCATGAAGGCGTCTCTCTTCACGAACCTCCCCTCTGTGTCCAGGAAGTGAGCAGGATGGAAGGAGTGAGGGTTCTCCCACTCCGTCTCATCGTAGAGGACAGAGGTCAGGAGTGGAAACACCGTGCTTCCCTGTTGGCAGGTCAAGGAACAAAACTTTCTTTTGTGCCAGGAGAAGACATGAAGACATTTCCACTCAGTCGTTGGTCCACTCTGACCTTCTGGATGAAGAAGCCCTGGAAGGTGACGTCCTGACTGGTTCTGTGAGGCAGAGACAAAGGCAGGATGTTGGCCAGTCTCTGAGTCTCGTGGATGACGGCTTTGACGTAGGCCAGGTTCTTCCTGTCCTCCAGCTGCACCTGTCCACTCCCAGCCACCCTCCTCAGCTCCTCCTGGACCTGGTCTGTGGACAGAGCAGTCAGGTTTACAGGTTCAGACTTCTGAAGGTCTGCAGACGTTTCTCACCTTGAATCTTGGGGTACTTGGCCATAGAGTCAGAAGGCTTGTAGTGAGACCCAGCCCACAGCAGATAAACACATCAATGATGTCAACCTGACCTCTGGAAACTTTATCTCCATGTAAATTATTAAACAGAATGGTAGTTATTTTAGTTTTTCACCAGAGAATTAAGGTCAGTGATTCTCTTAAACCACAGCAGTGTTCACTGGGTAACTGCACTCAGTCTTTATGGAAGAGACAGGCAGCGACCCACAGGCAGTGACCCACAGGCAGCGACCCACAGGTCGTTACAAAGACACCTCATAACCCAACTGTGAGACTCCTTGTTAGGTTTCATTGGCAGAGTACTAATACTTTTGTTTTGTGTATTATTGCGTACAAAGACAAATACTCTCACATTTTCTTTTTTTTTTTGTGAGGCTCTAATTGGTCTGATTTTATTCCTCAATTCAAATTTGACAGTTTAACAACATGAACCAAGAACCAGAAGGTGGGCGGGTTCACAGGGAGGCTGCACACAGTTTGTGTGTTGAGGGGTTGAGGGTCAAACCAACTCGTGGCGCCAGATCCAGGTCCTCCTCAGAGACCCCAGGTGGAGGAGTGAAACGGAAGTTCTGCAGGAGGGTGGAGAAGAACATGAAGAGCTCCATCTTGGCCAGACTCTCCCCCAGGCAAATCCTGCGACCTGTTGAGACGGGAAACATCAGACGCCTTACACTTTAAACACACAAAGACCATGAGAGTGTGAAGGTCTGGACCACACCAACCTGCAGAGAAGGGCATGAAGGCGTCTCTCTTCACGAACCTCCCCTCTGTGTCCAGGAAGTGAGCAGGATGGAAGGAGTGAGGGTTCTCCCACTCCGTCTCATCGTAGAGGACAGAGGTCAGGAGTGGAATCACTGATGTCCCCTGGACACAGGACAGGATTCTGTTGATACTACTGGCTGACCAGTGGCTGACCAGTGGATGTGGACAGATGTCTGACCTTCTTGATGAAGTAGCCCTGGAAGGTGATGTCTTGGCTAATCTTACGTGGAATCGCCACAGGTGCAATGTTGGCCAGTCTCTGAGTCTCGTGGATGACGGCGTTGACGAAGGGCAGGTTCTTCCTGTCTTCAACCTGGACCTGACGCGTCCCGATGACCCTCCTCAGCTCCTCCTGGACCTGGTCTGTGGGCAGAGCAGATGTTAATGCTAGGACGTTTTAACCTCAAACAAAAACAACGAATCTTGGTAAAAGTTTCTCACCTTGAATCTTGGGGTACTTGGCCATCAGCAGGAGACCCCACCTCAGGGTGGTAGCTGTGGTGTCAGTGCCGGCAGCAAAGAGATTCATAACCGTGACCATGAGGTTCTTGTCGTGGAAGTGACTGTCGGTGACTCCAGACTCCTGCATGAAGTACAAAATACAAGAACCTGCAGCCCCCTGAAGACCTGAAGACCTGACCTCAGTCACATGGTGCTGACCTTCCACATGTATGACTATACTGTGGGTCTGTGTGTCAACACCTCCACCACAGGTCAATACGAAGACCCTTTTTCTAACCAGTAACCACCAATAATGTTTCCCTGGATCTCAGCGAAAACATTCTGACCCGCATCATGCACCAGTATTTGTGGACCATCTACGGACCAGGAAAAAACTCTAGTCCACCTTGGACTCCTTTAAAAGAATGTGGAAAACGTTGAAGAAGTTGCGATGCATCCACCCACCTCCAGGTTTTGCTTGTGGACCAGGAAGGCGTCCACGAAGCCTCTGCACATCTGTGGGTTGAGGGTGTCCTTCAGACGGCTGAAGAGCATCAGGTTTTGCTCAATGTTAGCTTCCAGATATTTGAAAAACTCCTTGGGGGTGAACAGTTTTCTAAACCACGGGAACATGTTGTACAGCTGCGGAGACAAAAATCATCGTCGAACAGAACGAACGTACAACAAGGAAGTGAAACGAAGGAACCAAAATGGAAGCTCACCCGAATCTTTGCAGAAGCCCCCAGCTGAATAATTCTGTTGGTTCTGTTGACCAGAGAGGTGAACTCTGGGTCGTCGTACTCAAACCTGCTGCCATAGACCATGGAGCAGATGATGTTGGAGACGGCCTGGTTCAGTGGTGCCGTCGTATCAAAGGGTTCTCCTGCAGCCGGACACAGGAATTAGAAAGGTCCCAGGAACTCTCATGAGAACTCCTGCCTGGACTGAAGAACAAACCTCCAGAACTCCCAATCACTTCAATCAGATATTCACATTCCTCCGTGATTTTGTCCTCGCAGGACTTTTTTCCCATCCCAAAGTCTCTCAGGTTCATCAAAGCAAAGCGCCTCATTTCTTTCCACAACTCTCCGTTGGACCACACAACACCTGAAAAGCAGCACACACTCAGCCAACCACAGTTGGACATGTAGCCCCGCCCTCAATAAATGGCCGACTGTATGTATAAATATGTAATCTATACACAGACAGTGAGAGGCTGTATGTTAGAATTGTTCGTAAGTCGTTACATATTAAATTTGAATCTATAATTGACATTTGAGGTCATTTAAATGCCAGTACTACTCTAAATAAGAAAATACTACAGTACATTTATATATACACATGGATGTATACTTATATACATATTTATGGCTACATATATATGTTTATACATAAAGTCTCAAATCTAGCTCAGAATTAGCTTGTAGTGAGTTGAAAGATAGTTGTTAAAATAATTTTTAAAAAGTCTTTAGCTGATGGCAGGCAGTAAGAGAGTAAAATTAAACATTTAAGACAGAAATCAAGGCGCATAAAATCATGTCCAGAAGCCCTGAGTGGCCACAGAGCCATACTTTGAACACAGGGGATCCTGCTACAAAGAAAAGAACCTCATGTGGTTCTGGTTGTGACTCACCGTGTCCTCCACTGAACTCCTTAAAAACCTTAGGCGTATCTCTTTCTCCAAACACTTCTGCGTTGTTGACCAGAGCCTCCCTCACCGTCTTGGTTCCAGCCAGAACCACAGTTTTCTTAGGTCCAAGGTAAACAGTGAAGACCGGACCATATTTCTTGGAAAGCTGAAAATGGCAATTCTAGTCACCAGAAGAAAAGAAAACCAGAGCTGACAAACAAAGAGCAGACACCCAGTACGGCCTGGTTCTCACCTCTATAAAAGAGTTGAAGGGTCTTTTCAGGTCAAGCTGCAGCAGGTTCCCCAGCAGAGGAAGAGGTCTGGGTCCTGGAGGCTCCTTGGTGTTTGTTTGGGGGTTGGAGGTCCATGTGGAGGCCCAGTAGACCAGCAGCAGGAGCAGCAGGGCTGTCAACAGTGGGACGGAGCTGAGAGAGGGCTGAAGGAGAAGGTCAAAAAGTGTCATGGTCTGGGCTTCGGTCCTCCTGCTCTGACAGCTGTGACACGAAGAGACTGAGAGAGTATCACAGTACACCTGAGGTGAACGACCTGCTCAGTGTTAGGAGTGCACACGTCACGGAGTACACACAATCTACACACAATCTATGTTAACGCCTTTACGTTGTTTATTACGGGTACTTGACACGGGTAGGCGGCAAGGTGAACCACGAAGTCTTTCAGAAATAAAACTCCGCTCTGACGTCTGAACTACACTACCTTTAGTTCATAAAAAGAAGGCGTTGTGTTAAACTTACAGCAACAAGTCCGTCGCAAAAAATCCTGCCCATTTTTTTTAATATCACGAGGCATTTTATACAGAACTAATGTCTTCAGGGCGTAATATGATATTGGGTCGCGAGAGGCTGCACGGTCGACACGTGATCGGACTACACCAATAGGGGAGCAGCTTTTGGCAAACAAAAAAGCAAGATGGCTGCCTGCAGAGTTTCATTTGGCGGTACTGAAGAACGACCAAGGAGAACCCAACATGGTTCTGGTTTACTCAAGAAAGTCAAAATTATCCAAATATATTAAAGATGTGACGCGAACACAATCAAAGGTTTATTAAACATTTAAAATAAAAATCAGAAAATTACCAAAAACATTAAAAGTAAAAAATGCATTAAACAAAGTCGAATTAACAAAGTGCCGAACAGGAAATGGTGAAAATGAAGGTTAAAATCCCCAGAAACTACAGCCTACTGGTCAACATTAGTCGACAAGGTAGCTAACACAAGCTAAGCTAAATGAAAACATTCCAATTAAAAAGAGCCAAGCTGACAGGGCCACAGTGTGGCGCTGTAGAATAGACCGGAAACAGTCACAAAAGATGAAAAGGTTCTCAATAACTAATTACGAAGGTAACTAGGGGTTAGCTGACGAAGCTAACGATGCTAAAATGAAACCAAGAGAATATGTAAATGTAACACCTGAATCTGAGGAGTTTTCATTTGTGTTTAATCCCAGTCTATAGACGTTCAGATCCTGGTACAAACGGACTACAGGAAACATTGACCAGTGCAAAAATAAACCCAGTAGGTGGCAGCAAAGGCATTCACAAGATTTAGACTTTCTTTATTATTATTCAGATCCGCTCATAGCTATATAAGAACTTAGCACCACCTACAGGCCAGGGAAGGAGCACGACGATGTGGGTTGAATGTTGACACAAACAGACCTACATTCTAATGAAATGTAGCAGGAAAAACTCAAACTAAAAAAGAAGAAGAAGATGATGCAGTGGTCCCCGACGCTTGTGTTTCTGTCCAACAACAGAACAAAACTGGGTCACAACAACGGAGAGCCAGCAGACAGGAAGCGACTCAAGGGTAAAAACAAAACTTTTCTCACAACATTTGTTTTTTTTATTTTTTTGCAGAATTCACACTAACCCACAGTCAACTATCATCTGTCGGCTAATGTGGTCAAACTGAAGTCTCCAGAAGTCGGGCTTCAGAGAGGGAGAGCACACAGTTTGTGGGGTGAGGGGTTGAGGGTCAAGCCCACACGTGGGGTCAGATCCAGGTCATCCTCTGACACTCCAGGTGGAGACGAGAAACGGAAGCTCTTCAGGAGGGTGCAGAAGAAGACAAAGAGCTCCATCCTGGCCAGACTCTCCCCCAAACAGATCCTCCGACCTGTGGAGGGAACATGTCTTTAAACGGGGACTGGGAGTTGTTTGGATTCATTAACAACCAATTAACTAAGGACAAAAAAGGGGAATTAAAACATCTGACCATCACGTCTCGCACACTGGTAACACACACACACACACACACACACACTTACTGTGGTATGTTGTAGACTGATATAAATGTACACACAACCTCACCTGGAAGTCTGTTCACTCATCTGTTGTCATCTAACTTTTTTGACATTAAATACTTTGTGTCAAATATTGGTATTTTGATAAAAATGTAATTGATGACAGGCCTCTAATTGACGTGGCATTAGAGGAGGGGTACCCTGGACCCTGGACCCTGGACCACACCAACCTGCAGAGAAGGGCATGAAGGCGTCCCTCTTCACGAACCTCCCCTCTGTGTCCAGGAAGTGAGCAGGATGGAAGGAGTGAGGGTTCTCCCACTCCGTCTCATCGTAAAGGACAGAGGTCAGGAGTGGAAACACCGTGGTTCCCTGTGGGTTTTAACTCAGTGTTTACGCCAAAAACCCAGACTAAGCCTTAAAGCAGTCCATACCCTGTGAGCAGCCCACTCTGACCTTCTTGATGAAGTAGCCCTGGAATGTGACGTCCTGACTGGTTCTGTGAGGCAGAGACATGGGGACAATGTTGGCCAGTCTCTGAGTCTCGTGGATGACGGCGTTGACGAAGGGCAGGTTCTTCCTGTCTTCAACCTGGACCTGACCCGTCCCGATGACCCTCCTCAGCTCCTCCTGGACCTGGTCTGTTGGTACAGCACATGTTGGGCCTGTTGTTGTCATGACAACTACAGAGGTCTTTCAAAGTTTCTCACCTTGAATCTTGGGGTACTTGGCCATCAGCAGGAGACCCCACCTCAGGGTGGTAGCTGTGGTGTCAGTGCCGGCAACAAAGAGATTCATAACCGTGACCATGAGGTTCTTGGTGTGGAAGTGACTGTCGGTGACTCCAGACTCCTGCAGGAGAAACACAAGACAGAGAGACCAGGTTTACAAAGAATCTGCAGGTCTCATGGTGGTTGACGTCCATCAGCAGCCCTGAATATTCACCAGAGGTCGTGAGGTCACACAGGGTACCCAGCGTTAAAGTAACTATTGATGGTATACCTGGTCTCAGAGAGACTTCATCTGAACTCACCTTCTGGTTTTGCTGTTGGACCAGAAAGGCGTCCACAAACCCTCGACACATCTGTGGGTTCAGGGTCTCCTTCAGGTTATGGATGAGTTTTCTGTTCTGCTCCTTGTTCTCTTCTATGTTTCTGAAGAACTCCTTGTTGCTGAAGAGTTTACTGAGCCATGGGAAGTTGTTGTAGAGCTGTTGACGACAAATGAAAACATGTATGAGCTGCTGCTAAGACAAGACAGGAACATTCTCCTCAGAAGTCTCCAACTCACGCGCATCACTGCCGAGCCGGCGATCTGAACGGCCCTGTTCGTCCGGTCGACCACAGACATGAACTCTGGGTCGCTGTAGTCAAACCTGTTCCCATAGACCAGGGAGCAGATGATGTTAGAGACGGCTTGGTTGACCGGAGCTGTCGTATCGAAGGCTTCTCCTGGTGAGACACGAAACCAAAAAAGTCTTTAAAACTCCCCTCCAGACAACGAGACAGAAGACCAAGAAACAACAGCAGTGGAACGGTGTTGTCTGCCCGCCATGCAGAAGGTTCTTTGACTCTGACGAAGCGATCGCTTGGAACTGATTTATCTGCTGTCGCTGCTGCACCAGGAGATCTTGACTACTGACCTTTAAAGTTCCTGAAAACGTCCATCAGGTAGTGGCACTCCTCCATGATCTTGTCCTCCACTGCCCTCTTGCCCATGCCAAAGTCTCTGAGGTTGGTCAGAGCGAAGCGTCTCATTTCTTTCCAGGACTCTCCGTTGGACCATAAAATACCTGCAGGACAGATGACGTCAGTCCATCAGCCTCAAAGGTCCAAAGTCTGGACCGAAGGTGGCGCTGTGTTCTATGAGTGTGATTTATTACTATACCATAGTGTCGTATAGTTTAGTATAAAGTCTCACCACGGTTTATTATGGGCAGAACCAAAGTCAAAGTCACTGTTCTATCATCACTGTTCTACCATCACTGTTCTATCATCGCTGTTCTATCATCACTGTTCTATCATCGCTGTTCTATCATCACTGTTCTACCATCACTGTTCTATCATCGCTGTTCTATCATCGCTGTTCTATCATCGCTGTTCTATCATCGCTGTTCTATCATCGCTGTTCTACCATCACTGTTCTATCATCACTGTTCTATCATCGCTGTTCTACCATCACTGTTCTATCATCGCTGTTCTATCATCGCTGTTCTATCATCGCTGTTCTACCATCACTGTTCTATCATCGCTGTTCTATCATCACTGTTCTATCATCGCTGTTCTATCATCGCTGTTCTATCATCGCTGTTCTATCATCGCTGTTCTATCATCACTGTTCTATCATCACTGTTCTACCATCACTGTTCTACTATCCCTGTTCCTCCATCTTTGTTCTCACCGTGCTCTTCTGAAGTCTGTTTGAACACCAGCGGAGGTTCTCGCTCTCCGAACGCCTCGGCGTTGTTGACCAGCGCCTCCTTCACCGCCTGGTACCCTGCCAGGACCACCACCTTCTGGGATCCGAAGTAGACGGTGAAGACTGTTCCATATTTCTTGGAAAGCTGCTCACCAGAGTAAAGTGTTAGGAACATCAGTACAGGAGTCCAGCTGTTACTGTGATTCACACACACACACACACACACACACACACACTGTCAACAACAACAACAACAACATTTGACCGTTCAATCACACACATCAATATTAGCTGCAGCTTGAGCTCCAACAACAACGTTCTACAGTTGCCCTCACCTCCAGGAGGCTTTTGTAGGGTCTGTCCAGGTCGACCTGCAGGAGGTTACCGATCAGTGGGAGCGGTTTAGGTCCTGGAGGTTCGTTGCCTTTTTCCTGAGAGCTGAAGTTCCAGCTTGAAATGAAGTAGAGGAGCAGCAGGATTAGCAGAGCTGCTAACAGTGATCCGGACGAGGACGAGAGTAAAACATCAAATACAGCCATCGTCTGTGTGCTGGTCTGTTCCTGGGCCGCCGAGCGATGTGGTCAAAGGACCGACTCCTTTGGTGCTGTGGTCCAGACTGAAACCAAAGCATCGATCTGACGTGAAAGTCAGGCTGAAAACTCTGCTGCTCTTTATGGTTGTGGTGAATGTTTAATATGTGGTGAAAGTTTAATAAGAGGGCGAGGAGACGAGTGTGTACAGAGGTTAGAGTAGTTTCACACACACACACATACGTTCTGATTTTCTCTGCTTTTCAGCTGAAAGTAAGACATCTTGCTTTATATATTATGGAATATATGTTATATGTGATAAAATGATCACCACGCAAATGGAAAATCCACCTGATGTCATCAAACGGCAAAACATGTCAAGACATAGTGTTGAAAATATAAGTAGCTACTGTACACCATAGATAATGGTGGCATGAGAAACAGGATTAGTCTGTGTATAAACCCTCTGACTGTTGAGTAAAGTAGAAAACACAGATCACTTTCTCCATCAAGCCATTCTTCTTCTTTCGTTTCCTGTGTATGAGCAGTGAACATCACACATCACTGTTTGGTCACTGAGTTTTCATCGAAGGGAAGAAGAGTCTGAACAGACGTAAAGAGACAGACTAAC